AGTTAGTAAAGGTTAACCACTTTTTTTGGGAGGGCATGACTGAGAAGAGGAGAATGGAGAAAAGTAGTAACTTTATAGAATATGAAGCTTGCAAGTATTTCATTTCTTTGCTTTCTTTTTCTTTTGAGATATTGGAGCTTTCAAGTTATCTTCAGTGTAATTATTTTGTAGATACTACAGTTGCAGTTTAACAAAACAAAATATCTTTCTGTATGTAAGATAATTGGCATGCTTCCCAACACAACACAGATTGTTGCTCTTTCAAATATTCTAGTCTGTTCTCATGGGAAACTTGTCTTGATTACACCATCCAGTAAGTGTAAAGTGAATGTATCGATTTCCTATTAAAAAAAATTCTATGCAGTTCATGGAATCCTGGTCAAATTTCTTAAACATATATAATATCTTCTGCTGATATTCAGTATGGTTGACTCACACCTTATGGGTGCCATCTGATGTGATGCTGAAATTGTGACAAAGTTGGTGTTCACCAAGGAAATGAGCCTTAGAACTGTTAGTCATGCCTATCAGTCAGAAACATCAGTGAGTTAAGCATGGTGGTAACACTGTAGTCACCATGTAGCTGTCAACAAGCTACCATTTGTGAGCCCCACATGTCAAGGAAAGGTATGCGAATCTGCCTTAGAAAGCAGAAATGTCACTAATGTGTGCACACTGTCAGCCCTAACCTGCCCTGGTTCTTATCAAAAGAATTAGTATATTAGTACGTGTTTTTGAAGTATCTATTTCTGGATTGTTATTTGGAAGATACGCAAAGTGAGTAGCAGTGAGTGTGCTGCTAGCCACCAGGTGTGAATGCCTGACATTGTAGCTTATATTAGACCTACATGCTAGCAAGAATCTGAAATAATAATTGGTAAAGCATATTCCATCCTACAATTTACATGGGCACATGTCTCCTCCTACCTTTTAAATACAGACAAATGAAGATCTAGGCTTTCTGATTCTTGGACTATGCTCTACAGTTCATCTTCAGAAGCATACTGTCTTGCCGCTATATACTCACTAGTCCTTTTCCAACCCAAGTTTGTAGACAAAATAGATTACTATTATTAATAAAGACGCCACAGGGACACCTGAGTGGCTCAGTTGGTTGAGCATCTGACTTTGGCTCAGGTCCTGATCTCGCGGTTTGCGGGTTGGAGCCCAGCATGGGGCTCTGCGCTGATACCTAGGAGCCTGGAACTTTGCTTCAGATTCTCTTTCTCTCTCTGCACCTCCCCCTCTTGCACTCTATCTCTCTCTCTTAAAAATAAATAAACATTAAAAATTAAAAAAATAAAGAAGCCATTAATTATGAGTTTTATTAATAAGGAACTCAGATTGTCAGGGTTGCAAAAAAGAAGATATTGAATGGAGGAAAAGGACTGTTGGGTTGGGCTAGAGTTTTCAATTAGCAAGATAGTGAAAATGCAGGAAGACTAGTAGGGTTTTAGTTATTGGGTGTATGAAGATGTTGACCTGAGGCCAACCCAGGTTGGAAGCAGGAAGAGGGGGCGAGACTGATATAGACTAGGGGAAGGGTCAGAGGCAGGAACTTTATAGTTATGCTGAAGAAGTGATTTAGAGGAAGGAGTAGAGGTTGAATAATAAGGAGCAATTGTAAGAAAGAATTTCAGTGAGATACAGAGTTGGTTTTAGCTTTACCTGTGGATTGAGGCCAATTGCTTACATGATTATATTTTACAATCTTTTATGAAAGTATTATCTTATATTCATCTTTTCATTACACATATATTTTATTAGGGAATGTATCTTTAATATCTGTTCACAGAATTATACCAGATACTAAACAACTTTTAAAATAAATATACATACTCTTTAAAATTTTCACTTTTTTCCTATTACTGTCTACCTTTATTACCCTCAGAAATTCCCTCTTTTCTATAATTTATTATAGAACAGAAAGTATACTTTATAAATTTTCCCCTTTCCTATATTATGAATCTCCTTAACTACTGGTGTTTATAACATATTTTAAAAGCTGCTTTAGTGTTCTAATATTTAAAATCAGTGACGATGGGATAGGATTTAATTTGCAACATCCATGGTCAGGGAATTTTTAAAAATGATTAGTGCATACAAGGAATGGTAAATTAGCTTCAAATTTATAATGTCAGATCTTTTGTAAATTATGTAAAAAGCCATGTAAATAATGGGTCTAAACACAAACAGCATGTGTTTTAAACAACATATTTGATCTGGTGTGTGTGTTTTTGAGTCTATTATTCACTTTTTCTGTGAAAATTAAAAGCAAACAATGAAGTGTCAGAAAATGATAACAATACAACACAAAAGAAATACAACAAAAAGAAATAATAGGAAACCCAATATCAAAGAGCAAAGGAAAAACCCAAGCTCTTCTAAGAATAACTTGAGTAACATTGGGCAGTGATTCAACATGCCTGTGACACATTTTTCCTAACCTTTAAACGGGGAGGATTCTGTCAAAGATATCTACTTCAAAGTTAAGTGCATACTATAAATCTCAAGAAAATGTTTTTATAAGACTTATAATAACTTGTGAATTAGCTTTTAGAAAGAAAGGGTTACAGTATCCTCTTGCATAATTTTGAATACCACTATTATTAAATATTGCTTTATTCTATGAAATGTGCATACTTTAGTGGAAAGGGCTTCTTTAGGGAAATGTGAAGTTTGTAGCACTAAAAGCTCAAAATTATATGCAGGTCTCACACATTCTGTATCTGTTAATGGAAATATAAAAATGGTTAAAATGTTCAAGAACAGAGAGGTAAAGGTACAAATCAAATTAAAAGCTATTTTAAATGTTAAAATTAAATGGCACAATTTGAATTCTAATATCTTACAAAAAAAGTGTTAGAAATGTTTAGTGCCCATGTAACTATTTAAGAAATTTCATTTCTTTTTCCTAAACTCCTAAATATATTCCTACATCTAGACAAAAGTTTTATAACTTTTTGGCACATTTTCATGAACTAATTGACTCTAAGACTGCCTGGGGTATATTGGGGAAGGGGTATGAACAGTACAATCCTTTAGGAATTGCTACTGATTTTTCAAAAATGTCAGTTTCACATTTTGACAATATATAAACTATCTTTCTCATTCTTTCCTCCTGGCATTCTCTTCCCCTTTATCTAGCATGTGTGAATTGTAGACGCAGGTAGCATATTATTGAAGTTAGAATGGAAGGCTCTGAATCCGACTTCCTGCATTTAAATCCCATCTTGACCGCTTACAGACTGGCAGGCTTTGGGGAAGTAACTCAAAATTTCTCTGCTTCACGTTCCAAAATAAAGGGAATCAACAGTAGTTTCTTCCTTCTTACTTTGCATTTGATCATGAAAAGAAATGGTCAATGTAATGTGCATACAAGACTTCTGGCACATGGTAACTACTCAATGTTATTTTGCTTAGGTTCTGTAGACCCTACATTGTTCAGAAGTTTAGCAAAAGGTTATAGCAATATCTTATAAGCTTTTAGCAGTACCCATTGAAAGCATGTAGAAAAAATTAGTTCTGATACAAATTTCTATCAGTCCTGAACAAGAACTATTTGTTAAATTAGACAGACTAGCAGTCACTCAATGGAGTTTTTCACACTAATCATTGCATATATAGTGTGTAGTAGCAAGACTCACCAATTAACTAAGTAATGAAAACATGTATGTATTTTCCCATCAGTAGCTAGAATTCTACTATATTCTGACTTTCTGAATACATACAGAAGTATAGAGCATGACTTCAGTTCCAGTGATCTAAAACGTAGTTGAGGAAAGAAGGCATATATGTAAAAATGTGTGATGAAGTAGATATTACTATTGGAACAAGCCTATGAATGCAAAATAAATTATGGCTCCATAGATTAGGTGTTTAGATTTTGGTTTAGAAGGCATGAATGATCGAGGCACCCGGGTGGCTCAGTTGGTTAAGCATCTGACTCTTGATATCGGCTTAGGTAATGATCTCACTGTTTGTGAGATCAAGCCCAGAGTCAGGTTCCACACTGACAGTGCAGAGCTTGCTTGGGTTTCTCTCTCTCTCTCTCCCTCTCTCTCTCTGCCTCTCCCCCAAGGTGCCCTTAAAGCTCACTTTTCTGTGGACAGTAAATGGCAGAAATTTTGCAGATTTCTCCTCAGATGTCAGGAGCAAATGACCAGATAATCACTAAATAGTTCATGGAATCACTGATCTTTGTTACCCAATTCAATTCTATGTTGTTAAATGTGTAATTTTAACTTAACTATTTAATTATATGTGATTTTTCTTTGAGCCGTGATTATCTGGTAAATATTCAGCTACTCACTTGTGTATTTTCTATCCTGATACATTAAAAGTTTTTGATGTACATTAGTTATGACCTCAAATATTTTATGTTTAGTACTGTGCTGTTAATCTGAAAATTGTGAACTTTTCTAGAGTACAACAGTCTCTTGGATGTGGGATAACAGTTTTATAGATAATAAGCATAATTTGATAGGCGGTGCTTTCTGAATCTATGAGAAAACATATCTGAATAATGAGTAATATAATAGAAAAAAAGTTGTGAGTTGTTCATTTTTTATGCAACATGAAAGAGAAAAAAGATTTAAAGATCATATATATATATGTGTGTATATATATATGTGTGTGTATATATATGAAGATCATATTATGTTTTAATAAGGTAAGTTGTTTTTTAAGAAAAGAAAATGGGTTTGTGGTTAATCAAATTAATATCTTTTAGCATGAAATTTTATATCAGAGAAATATTTAAGAATCGTATTCATTCTTTAAATGTGATGGTTATAATACTTTATATTAAATGGCATTTTGATGCCATTTTGATGGCATTATTATTTAGCATTAATTAGTCAATTTTATTAATCTATAAATTGTCTATTATTGCTCTCCTTTTTCATCTCATCAGCTGACTTAGATATAGCATCTAATAGCTACCAAAAAATGTGAATTCACAATGTGTTCCTCCCCCCCCCCCTTTTTTTTCCTTTTAGGGAAATCCTGAGGGGTTTGACATTTTTCATCCTCCAGCCATTAATCGTCCTGTAGGGAAAGGCTATACATTGGTAAGTCACACTCATTGGAATAGCTCTTTTTAAACTTGTTTGACTTGATTGTAATGCAGAACAAGGAGGACTAAAGTCATGCTAACATCATTGCTTGGGTAAATAAAGACTTCTTTTCAAACAGAATTTGTAACACCAGGATTGGGTTTTATTTTTAACCAATCTACTAATAGGAGTACTATTAAAACCTGTAGTTGTAAAATTAAAATTATATACAGAATGCACACTAGTTTTTAAAGTCTCTAATTGTGGTGGTATTACTTATATATATTTTGTTAATTTACAGCATGACCCACAAGCAGTAGTTGAATGAGCATCCATGAATAAGTCTGAGGCTGCAAATAAAAGCTAATAAATTCTATCAATTTTGGTAATACATAATAGTTATTTTGCATGTTGAAATTCAATTTTAAAGTTAAATAATTCTTATGTATTTTATGCCATAAAATCAAATACGTGTTTTTGTTTCAATTTATTATTATTGTTTTCTACCTATAAATGGCATTAATGTATTCTAATATGTTTCTGAACAACCCTCACCTCAATTATCCAACTAAGTTTTTTTCTTTCTCTATCTTGCGCAAACACGCACACACACACACACACACACACACACACACTCACACTCACCCATTCCTTAAAATATCAAACTTTATTTCATACGTTATACTTAGGTTTAAATTTATGTGCTATGTTTAGGTCAAAATTAATTAATCTGAACTTTTCCAATTTCTCTAAACTTCAGTTTTTGAGGTATTTCTCATGTCCTCACATGCTTTGTAGCTATGACCTTCAAATGTTTTTGATGAAACAATCCATAAATTAAAAATATTAAATATACACTCCAATATAGGCACATTATTTATAAATTACATTAATTTATTGCTATCTTTAGAAATACAAATAATGGTAAAAATATGAAATGCTCCTAAAAGAAATTTTTAAGATACAATGACAATGTATGTATTCTCTCTATATATATTATATATTGTCTCTCTAGAAATCTTTTGCTTTTTCCTATTTCTGTATACTCCTAGAAGTTGTGCTGGGTACTCAAAGATTCTAAAAAACCTCATTTTAAGCATGATTTTGTATAGATACATGGTATACTGCAAGTCAGTGAGTGTGTTTATACATTTATATACACAAATGTGTGTGCGTGCATGTGGATGATTTAGATAGGACTGGCTGACTCAAGATTTTGGGGTGGCTTAGAGTCACAGCCAATGATCTTATCTGAGTATTCCTTTTCTGGAAAGCATAAGGAATAAAATAACTCAGAGGGTCTGTTATAGGGAATCAAATAGCCAAATAAATAGTTAGGAGGGATACCTTGTGTCATATGGAATACCTCAAAAGATATCTTGTCAAGTTGATATCTTGGCAAAAATAGATTCACACCACTTATTGTCACTGTATGATAGAATTCCTTAGTTACACATAGGCTTGCCATTTTTTTTTTCTCAATAAGGTCCTCAGTGGTGAGCCACCAGGTATCATACTATGAAGAGATGAGGGGAAGATTAAATGGTTAGAGTGAAAATCATTTAATCCTTATTATTTCTCCAAATGTGAACCAACAACCCCATAAGATTTGTTTTTCACAGTACCTCAAGTTAATTTCCTTTGATTGTTGAATATAAACCAAGAGCTTCCCACCCCTATCCTTACAAAAGGAGCTCACATTTAACTGGAGTCAAATCTCAGTTCAAATCTGAAGCCAGGCAGGGACATGGTATGACAGTTAATGACAAATCCAAGATTAACCAGACAAAGCAACTTTCATTAAATCTTCAATAGCAAAGTCTTCATAATTGCTGATTCCATTTACTTGAGCCCTCTTCTAATTTAAGAGCCTAACACTGCAGAACCAGTTAAAGAATCCATTTAGATGCTCTGTTATCCAGGAACCAACTCTATACCTCTTATCTTCGAAAATCTCATTATCAGACACCTTACTGAACTATGGATCTATCATATCCACTTCATTCCATTTATCTATTGGTTTAAAAATGCTCATAAAAAATAAAAACAATAAGAAATAAAATGAGACTTGTCTGACAAAACTCAGTAAATCCTTAATGACACTTACCAATTATGGCTTTCTTCACAGGACTCTCAGGTGATAGGGAATTCCTTTAAACTTACAGATATTTTGAGGATTTTCTATCTTACCTAGTCATAGTACATGTAATCTATCTTGTCTAAAACAAACAAACGAAAGAACCCTCCCCAAAAAACACAAAAAACAACTCATTATTATCTGGCCTTAGGTTCACTACACTTGGGCTCTAATTTTTCTTTATGACTTGATCTAGAGAAAAAGAAAGAAAGCACAGCAATCAGTTTTGCTGTTTCACTTTGGATTGAATTTTTCCTGTTCTGTGTTCTGAGCAGCGAATCCCTTCAAAAAGGTGTCTGAGTTGTTAGATGTTGAGAAAAAAGTGGGAAAAAAAGAGGTTAATTTGCTCCCCTCCAACAACACAGGTGAAGTTTTAAGCAGTTCTGTACTCAAAATTGCTAGTGAAAAATCACAAACCGTAAAATCCAAGTGTGAAGATGAGGTGGGGTGTGATTCTAACAAGGTGGTTAGTTTGTCTCTTTATTGAATAAACTATGTGCATCCTTTAAGGCATAGGAACCGTCCTTTAAGGCTCAAACTGTCAAGATTTCCCCAATTGGTATTTTTATAATTGGGTAGACTTCCCATGGTGACTCCCTTCCTTCTTTACCTATCACTAGGCCCTTATTAACCCTTTTCTTTGCTGTAAGTCTTCCCTTTTCCCAGATATCCCTTTCAAGGGTTAATGTTAGCTCAATGACTTATGTTTTCTCTCCTTTCAGTCTGTACCTTTCATGCTTGAACTCATCTACTCTTGTAGCTTCAGAAATCATTTATATCTAGTGACGTCCTAATCAATATGTTCTCTTAAGATCTAATTCCTTAGAATCATATCAGCATATCTATTTGATAGCACATTAAGCTTCTCAACTTTCAGTATATTAAAATTGAACTCACAGTATTTTCCCACAAGCCTATTTTTTTTTTCTTTCCTGTTTCTCTGAAGTACCATCTACCCAGTTTCCCAAAAAGAAACCTGGGAAATATCTTGGATTCCTCTTTCACCTCTCGTATTATATCATCCATGATGTCTTATTAATTCTACCTCTGGGCAAATGAAGAATGTCACTGGCAGTAAGGAAAAGCATAATATGTATCGTAAAACTAGTTTGAAATGCCAGTGGAAACTAAGTTCATTGAGAGAAACTGAGACTGTATGGCTCAATCGGTTAAGTATCTGACTCTTGATTTGGGCTCAGGTCATAATTCCAAGGCCATGAGATCAAGTCCTGCGTCATGCTCTGGGCTGAACATGGAGCCTACTTGGGATCTCTCTTTTCCTCTCTCTCTGCCCCTCCACTGCTTTCAGTCTCTCTCTCTCTCTCTCTCTCTCTCTCTCTCTCTCTAACCCCCTCTCCCTCTCTCTCTCCCTCCCTCAAATTAAATAAGTAAACATTAAAAAAGAGAAACAAAATGTTCATCATAATCTAAAACAAATAGAAAAAATAATTCATCCCTAAGTAAGAGCTAATGTCATAATTTTTATCATTATGTTCATTGTATTTTACTATAAACTCCAATCTCTTTAATTTTGTTTCATTAATACCTTAGTATTTCTTGCCTGTAATACATATGCATATATCTTTGTAGAGCCATTATATCATTTCCCTATAATCATATCAATTCTAATGTTCAAAAATTTCCATTATGTGATAATATCAGTGAGAAAAGAGTTATTTAACATAACTGCTTTCACATGTTGTGATTTAACATATGTATTTTTCTCTAATCCTTCTTTAAAAATTTTTTTTAAAGTTTATTCATTTTCTGAGAGACAGAGAGAGACAGAGCATGAGCAGGGGAGGGGCAGAGAGGGACACACACGCAGAATCCGAAGCAGGCTTCAGGTTCTGAGCTGTCAGCACAGCCTGATGCAGGGCTTGAACTCACAAATTGTGAGATCATGCCCTCAGCTGAAGTGGGACACTTAACTGACTGAGCCATCCAAGCACCCCTCTCCAATCCTTTTACATAGAATAGAACATATGACACACATATATGTTAATAATGTTTTAGTAGTTTTATTCTTAGCCACTTTTTTATTTAATTAAGTTTTTAATTCCAGTATAATTAATATACAGTGTTACATTAGTTTCAGGTGTACAATATAGTGATTGAACAATTCTATACATCATTATTCAGTAGTCTTCATGATAAGTGTATTCTTAATCCCCTTCACCTATTTCACCCATTACCCCACCTGTCTCCCCTCTGAAATTATTTATTTCAATGAGTACTGTCAGTTAAAGTTACTGTTTTTGTTTAAACAAAAACATATTTTTACTTGAAGCATACTTCAGAATACATGGTTCTAAAACCATGGTTTTATAAACCATGTTTATAAAACATTCTATCCAAGAAAAAATAGAATGCACATTTTCTTTAAGTACACAAGAAAAATCCCCCGGTTAAATCACATAAAGAGAGACATATAATATGACAAATTTAAGATGACTGAAATCAAACCAAGTAGATTTTCCAGACACAATGGTACAGAACTAAATACCAACAATAAAAGCTAGAAAACTTACAATGTAAATATTAAACATTTGCTACTGTACAAGCAATGGGCTAAATAAGAAACCAAATGGTAAATCAAAATATGTCTCAAAACAAAAGCAAAGGAAAACACAATATTCCAAAAACTATGGGATGCAACAAAAGCTGACGTTAGAGTGAAGTTCATGTTTTAAATGCTTGTATTAAGAAAAAATGGTTTAATTAAACAATATTACTCACAAAGGAACTAGAAAAAGAAGAAACTTGCTTGAAATCTAGTAAAGGAAGGAAATAACAAAGAAAAATAAAAAATAAATAAAATAGAGACCATAATAAACAATGTAACACTGAAATTATGACCCATTTTTATAAAAAAAAT